TATATTTGGAATATTGTATAATATCTTTTGTAATTGGTTTTCAAATATATTATTCAATATTTAGCTTTTTTATTTATGTCATAGGTTTATATAATTAGTTTCATCTTCATAATAACTATCAAATATATTTCTATTACTTTCTTTTAAATCTCTAAAATCAATGTAATCATTAATATTACTATTATTTGTAATATTAGAAGCAGTATTTGAACTTATTCCAATTTCAAGTTCATTATTACTGATATTATTTTCTTCTTTAAATCTGTAAAAAATATCTCTTTGATTAGTCATAGTTACTTGATCATAATTAAAAATTAAATATTTCTCAGATTCATTTCAAGCATTAGATATATCATTAGAGATGGGAGCCGTAACTAGTTGCAACTCTGTCGTAATTCTTTGATTGGCTGCCACAACTCTATCGCAATTCTCTGATTGGCTACCGCAAGCCGTAATTAGTTGAGGAGCCATCTTTATATATCATAGCATTTGAATAATCGAGAAACTATCTTTGGATCTATACTTTTCCAAGTAGTTTTAACCTATTGTGCAATAATAGAATATGCAAGATGTTGAATATGATCAGCAGGAGTAAGTTGATAAACTTCTTTAACTATCCAAGTATTATATTGTTGATATATCTGTATTAACAAAAAAATAAGATGAGATAAAAACAGTTTGAAGTATTACACTTTTATAATAAATTACCTTTATCTTGAATGGTTTATTTAATCCAACATCTAATAGTTGAAGTTTTGAAGTTAATCCATTAGGAATAACTGTAATATTAGTTGCTTTTTCATTAAAATATCATTTGACAGAATTAATTAGATATCCAGCAAAAGAATCTAATATTAAAAGAGACCAGAGATTGACAGATAATAATATCCAAGTATTTCACATATTCTTAATCTAAAACAGTATTTCTTCTTTATTCATCCATCCTTTTTTGTTGGCTCTAATTATTACATCTGATAGAAATTCTTGATTGCGTAAAACTTTAGCCAGCTTGAATATAATTACAGGTGATAATTTTTTACCATCAGCCATGTATGCTAAAATAATTGTAAAATTGGATTTTTCATATTCACAGATATGAATTCCAATTGTATAAGCACCAATTTTATTAATCATTATTTGACTTGAAAGATTGAAAGATATAGGAGTTTCATCCATATTACCAATCAAAGAAGCTGGATAATCAAATTGCATTTGTTGATATAATACAAATGCCAAGAATTCATATTGTTTTTCTTTGAGATCTTCAGGCAAATGTTATGCTATAGTTATTCGATGATAATTACTTAATCAATAACAGCGCAAAAATCTATCTAACCATTTGTTGCTGAAGCTAAACTGGTCAATGCTAGGATATATATCCTTAAAAGAGGGAAATCTGGCGAATGTTTTTGCTTTGGTTTGAATCATACTTCATGATACTCCTTTGAGTTGTGATCAAAGATCTCTAATCTATTCTTCAAGATCATTTTCAAGCTCAGGATACTTGGGTCTTGCTTCTATATTAAGTCATCTAACTTGAGGCCAGGTATTCATAAGCAAAGTCTTGTTTTTTTTCATTTTCTGATTTGTACTGGCTCGATATTAAACTCGTCGGCAGTTGCACGCACACTTCCTATTGGATGTTTCTCCAAATAGGTTAAAATTGAGAGTTTTTCATGCGCTGTCCATGATCTTTTTTTGGTTTTAAGAACAGAATTCTTTATTCGCATATTTTATTACTAAAATTTATTCAGGTTATTAATCTCATTAAATATATATAAATTTTCCAAACTTTTCTTACCAAGTAGACGCGAAAAGACGCGAAAAAAATGAAAAATGAAAGGTACTGATCATTAGCGAAAACTGATTTTTTTTAATCAAAATTTTGCAATATACAGATGTCTCGTTGCCAAATTTAATTATTAACGCTGTATAGAATACCCCCCATGATCAGTACCCCCCTAATTGTGTATCCACCACCGGATAATGTATCCCCCCCGGGTACAAATCAAGTTTCACAAGCCTAGAATGTAACATACCCGGGTACCCAAGAATGCGAATTACGGTAAGCTAACAATATTAATCTTAGCAAAAACCCGCTAAAGGTTTATGTTGCCTGCACTCTGTGATGCTAATAAATTTCTTGGAACCTGTAATCGTCCCGAAAGTTGATTTATTAAATTGCACTGTTACAATCAAAATATTCATGACTTAATTTCGTGCTCGGAACTTTCGCCAAAAATAAAATTATTTCTGGTTGCAGGAACTGATCGAACCCCATATACAAACATTACCTTAGCAACTTGGACTCTCCTTCCCATCATGTAGAAATGTCTTGCGGAAGCTGGCACCATCATATCCAATAATGTTTCTCGCATTTCATATAATTGCAGAAAAATCGAATAAAAAAAATTTAAGTATTAGTATTTATTTCTGGCTGCAGGAACTGATCGAACCCAATATACAAACATTACCTTAGCAACTTGGACTCTCTTTCCCATCATGTACTCGCATTTCATATAATTGCAGAAAAATCGGATAAAAAAATTTAAGTATTAGTATTTTATTGAACAAAAGCTATTTAAGCAATCAGTGAGTGGGCTAACTCTCACTCAAAAGCCGGCCATCTATTTCAATGACTCGCCATTACTGGCTTCCGACAGAACATGTCTGCCGCGGACGCCTTGGGTGAAAGCAAACTCCATAACAATTCTGTGCAATAAAATCTAGCCGGCCATCTATTTCAATGACTCGCCATTACTGGCTTCCGACAGAACCTGTCTGCCGCGGACGCTTCTTTTACGCTTAACAGAATTGTCGGTATATTCGGGACAAGAAAAAAACTATGTCCAACTTACTTTTTTAAATTGACCTGACAATAATAACAGTCACACGAGTAAATTTTCTTTTGAGCATAGAGGAAGTTAAGACTGACGAAAGGGAACTAGTACCCTAGCCACAATACGAATGTCTGTCTTTATATAAGAAATCCATATAAACAATAAACGTCATCAATAACAAAATCAGCGCGTCATTTGCACACGCGCTTGTTTATATTAAAATTCGGACGTGTACCTAACACGTGACATTGCACATGAAATCAAGCCATAATTTAGGCTTAAGTCGTGTGACTATTGAAAATGATCATTTGACGCCGATGTGGCTCAATTGTGGCCAACACTGTGGTTGAATCAGCTTGCACGCAATCTACCTTTTTTGTGAAATTCAATAGTTTCAAGCATGAGTAGTTCACATAAAAAGCCCACACCTTTAAGCCCAACTGCCGCACGCACGGTAGAACTAACGAACACACGAGCAGCTTTTCGAACAGAATTTGAAGAAAGTCTTGGGTGTATGTATTCTTCTTTGAAAGCCTATTCCGGGAAAGTTGATGGAAGTAAATGTTAGCATATTCATTGATTATCCTTCATGGATTGATAGGGTACAATGCGGTAAAACTAGAAGAAGGTGTATATTTTCAGTATCCGGATAATATCGAATTGGAGGGTTCTTTATATCGTAAAGCTCAAGCGGTACTGAAAGAGATTATAAGTTCGGAACCGGAATTAGCCCAGGACGTTAAGTCGGGTAAAAAGGATTTGGAGGCGTTGGAAGAACATCCAAAGGTTAGAGACTTAATTGAATGTTTTTTTTATGTTTTATGTTTATATTTATAATCGTTTTTTTTTGTAACAGATTAAAGAGAATTTTCCAACGTCATCTTAGCCATCGCTTTCATAATTATATGCATAAAAAATTATTTATTTCTACATGGTGTGCAAAGTTTCGTTTTAAAGAAAATACCTATCTCGATCTCACGCTCTTTTTTAATGATCAAAAATTCGGGAGAAAGAACTATCAAAAGATCAATATTCATACGTAAAAACCTAATTTCTGTATTTTTTATTTTGTTAGTTAATTTCATCATATAAATTTAAGCAAAGCAAAATTAGAACAAGAGAAATAAAAATTTTATTTATTTGATATGTCAGAGAACCTTAGTAGTATCAAAAACGGCCTGATCTCGCCTTATTTTACCCTATATGGAATAGAGTAAAGCGCGACACGCCAACAATCTAATACTAAAAGAATTATCGATGATTAACGTTAAACCAAAATAAAGATTTAAAAAAAATGGATTTGTCTTCATCCTCTTCTACTGCATCAGTTTTTGCCAAAAGGAAGAACCCATTTGACAAAGAAGACCAGGAACCTTCTTGTAGCACTCCAAAAAAGATTAGTTGTAAAGAGACGAATCAAGAAATGATATATGGTAGGTAAATGCAGACATATTGCTTTTATTTTTCTCGAAATAATTAAAGTAAAAAAAAATATTATTGTTAGCGTATACAAGGCAACTACTTTTAGCCGGTCAACGCAAACTTTATAATGAAGAACAACAGCAACAACAGCAACAACAGCATCGACAGCAAAAAGAATTTCAGAAGAATAATATTATTGATGATGATATAAAACCCAATGACAATAAAATCATTAATGGCACACGGCAACCACTTATCAATTCATATAATGACAATACTTATAATAATAACAAAAGCAGTAACATTATCTTTTGCGATTCTTGTAAATTAAAAAATGCTAACGATGGAGGAGGATCCGATAATTCCTGCACTTTCTGTGAGCGTAGACTTTGCACGGATTGTCTTGAATTATGTTGCTCATGCGGAAATGGATTTTGCCGAATGTGTTCTGTGCAAAAGTATCTTTTTTATTTGAGATGGTTTTTTTTGATGATTTTGTGATCTTTTTTTTTCGCTTCTTTTAATTTTTTTCTTCTCTTTCAAATTAAAGCTACGATCTTCATGAAGTACGGAATTTCTGTTTGACTTGTAATAAATAATACGAGGGTCATTATCACCGTTCAGTAATATATGCGGCAATTGACCTTGCTTTTAGTAATTATGTATTTTTAGAAAAACATTAATACATATAATAACAAAAAGATATATGTATATATATCTCCAAGTATCTACTATATTTATTGCTGATGAATAAGCGAAAATGATTGATTGAATCCAATATCATCTTGTGTAGACTGTTGGAGCTTCCCTCATGTAAATTTTAGTAAGTAATGTGAATGAATATTGATGTTTTTTGTTTGCGAAAAACATTTTGTTATTTCCTTCTGTTAGATCAGTATTCGTATTCAATGTAAATGAAATACTTTAATGAGATGCAAAACTACTTCTAAGGTAAGAGCTTACTTTTATTCCAATTAATTTTATTGCAAACATAAGTAATTCATTGATCTGCTTCTCATTAGTGCCAACATTCATATCATTTGCAAACGAGGAATATGAGAAGGGTTGCACATGGAAAAAATTTCAGCCTCCATGTAAGCAAAAAATGGGAAAATTAAATATCGGGGGAAAGGCTCTTTTCATCTTTACTGTTTTTAGTTGTGAAAAATTTGGTACACGTCTATTTTTATATGTGGTAGTTTTTAGTTATTACGACGATAGGATGTGGTAACTTTGATCCCGTTAAACTTGAAATTCCAGGCAACATTATACCACATGTAATCAGATCCTTGCAAGTTTAATCAAAATGCGGAACTAAAAATAATATTCGCTAGGACTTCATTATAAGAACAACGTAAATAAGTAAGCGCGTTCGAAGCCGAAATAAAATTTTCATAGCTTATATTAATACAAAAATTGATAATAAGAATAATCATAAGAATAAAATTGTGTGTAATGATTTACGAAAATTAAAGAAAGCATCCTATTATTATCTCAAAGATTTATGACGAATCCGAAATAACACCTAGGAAAGAATGCGTACATCTTTTTTTTAAAACATCCTATCTACTAGTTAAAAATAATTTCTCAAGGGAAAAATTATCTGCATGTTTGTTAACGTGTTCGAAATTTCTTAGGGAAAATCTTCAAATCAAACTTGGCTAACACTCTACAACACACCAAATCAGAAAATAGGCATATATGCGAGAATCACACATAAATTCATAAAAGTATATATAAATCCAAATTCCTAGGCATTAAATGGGCCGCTTCTATATCAAGTTTCTTGATATAAAGTATCTCTAATATAAACAGTAATAATAATGATGATGGGAAAGAAAAAATAGAGGAGAGATCAGGCGGGTACGAAAAAGGAAAAAAGATATGGATAACAAACATTACACACGTGAGAAATAATAAAAAAGTGAAAAGAAAATTGGTAACAATAATAAATCTGAGTGCAGATTAAAGGAAACCAAGATAAAATTGTGGAGAGAAAAAAAGAACTGCGAAGATACAAAGAATCCTGGATGAAGACGGTCGGCTATATTCAAACTTCAAACAACTGCGTGCTAGAATTATCTGCGAATCTTGCTGCTGCAAATTTCTTCTGGTCATTTCTTAAATATACACACCGAGAGGAGTGACACTAGAAGCTGCAAAATGAGGCTCGCATCCATCTTATTCCGTCTCATAGATTCTTGTAAAATTTCGCAAATGTTCCACATATTGAATTCAATTGACGAGACTTTTGACTTAACGAGAAATACTCGTATTGTTAGCTATGCCTCCAATATTCATATACTTATGAGTAAAACTAGCCAATAGAAGAAGTAGGCGTCCAGCCATTGGACAGATAAGGCAATGAACCATTCGTTGGATTCGATTGTCTCTTTTCCGTAAAAGAAACGTCCGGAAATTGAGCTGATCCAGTCATTGCAGAATTTGAGAACCAAGAATAAGAGTTTGCTCGAAGCTCATTGGATTCTATCCCAGATAATCTATTATCTAGAGTATAATTGGCATCCGTTCGCGGCGGTGATCCAGGAAATCCATTAGACACAACCTCCGTTGCTTGTCGCTGCAATTGTGATTGAACATCAAAAGATGAAAATCCAAATGCATTGGAAGCTTGCGACGAATTTATATTGTTTGAAGAAAAACCATGCCCTATTGGTGAAGAAAATCCCGGCGGAGGTAACAAGGTTCTCGTCGTCAGCCCGGACTCAGCATTGTTTAGAGTTGCATTATTGTCAGAAATTGAACTTCTAATCCCAAAGAGATTATATCTACCAACATCGTTATCTAGACCAGGAAAGGCGAATAAAGAGGCACTATTTGAGGGAATACTAAGACGATTTGGTGGTGCAGGAGCTGAATTAGTTTTCTGACGATTAGTTGGAAGGACCAAAGGATCCTGGGATGCATCGGGAACTCCTGCGATCGGAGGAGAATTGGGTGAAAAAGATGAAAATTTCTTATAAGTGCCATTTGTATTATTTTTAGGACTTTCCGGTTTTGCGGCAATGTCGTGCGTATTTGTTTTATTTAGCGTATCGGAGGAAGATATCAGTTTGTTTTTAACGTTTTGAAGCTCGTTAAAATTGCTTGCAAATAATTGAGGTGTGTTGAAATACCAATAACTTTGTTGTTGTTCAGCTTCCTGGCCTCTGGACTCGGTGAAAATATTCTGACTATTGTTAAATAATGCTTCCACAGTGATAGGATTAGATGGGGAAGTTGTTGATGTTTTTTTGTCCTCAAGAATTTCTGTCACAGTAATAATTTTCGGAGGGGAAGTTGGGGATAGTCTTTTCTCCTCGCAGGTAACACTATTATGTTATAAAAATTATAATGTAAAAAGGTCTCGACGCATAATAATACTTGAATAAGATGTAATAAGAATAAGTGATTAAATATACCTAGGATTATGAGTTTCTTTTCCGTTTTTGTGTCGGCCAATGAATAATATCACTTCATCATCATCATCATCATTTGCATCTCCACTAAGAGCTTTAGGACTACTCGAAGCAAATGATTGTGATTCGAACAAATCGTTGCTATTGTTGTTTGGCAAAGAATCTTGTGTTCCCGCGACACCCTCGTTAGATGTCTCATCTTCTACATCAACATGTGCATTTAAAGGTGGAATAACAGGAGAAGCAGGTTTTCTAGCGGTAAACAACCCGTCAACAAAATAAAGGAATGATTCCTAATTATTTTCCCATGTTAGAGTTAGCATAATTAGTAATTCTCAACTCATCAATTTACAATATCTCATATTATTAACCTTTGAATCAGCAATGGATTTAGCATCTTCAACGATATCATAAATTCGCATATCATACTCCTCAAACGGCTCATCCTGATAAAATAATTCTTGCGCCTTCAAAACATTAGCACTTTTCAACGCCACAAACCCATTCATCTCAAAATCTTCATGCAACGGAACGTCAATGGGAATGCCTTGATTGTGAGGGAAAAGTCTCTCCAGAGAATTCAGGAATTGAGCAAAAGAGCCCCAAAATCTCGAGAAATTTGCATGTTCGTGCATAATATTTTTGTCCTTTGCTATAATATCTGACATGAAGGCAAAGTATTCAAGACTAACTTTAATCCACTTGGTGGCTATACGTAAAGGTGCTAAGATCCTTTTGACAGCAGCTGGAAGAACTTGAACAGCGCTCTGCGTTTCCCTAGCATCTTCTAACAATTCATCAAATTCCGTATTGCATACTTCCAAAAGAGCATTGAATGTATCCAATATTAGCAAAGTGGCAAATTTTTCGATCAAAGCTTTTTTCGATGATTGAGAATATGCGACGCCGTTGCTCTGTCCATTTTCTTTAATAAAACGGCCAAAAGAGATTAGGTCATAAACATGAAAGCTTTTAAATGAATTAAACATACCATTATTGATGTGTCTCAAAACGAATAAAGCAGCGATATTAATAATTAATATTTTCAAAATTTGATCCGATTCTAATGCAACAGCGAGCGTATTTTCTTTTAATTTATCTAAAAATGATGTTTTTAATTTGGGAAATATTTCCACGCTAAAAAATAAATTAAATCTTAATATCTGTATCGTAGATATTTTTTTTTTTACATAAGCAAACCTAATATAAAAGAAATTTACTTTGATTTCAAGTATAAAATGCTATGTAGTCTTATGAATTCAATGTTCATCGATTCAGTTGCTTTTTGCCGGTGATAATTAATTTGTGCGGATGAAGAGGCTGGCCGTTGATGCGAGAAGCGACGTCGATTAGGGTTTTCTGCTTTATCATTTTGAGGATTCTGTGATGGGTTTTCTGAGCTTTCCACAGAAGCCTTTTTTGCCTTTGAGAACATGAAGCTAAGGTTGTCTTTAGCAGTAAGAAAAGGATATCGAACAACAAGACTTCTGTAGTAACGATATATTGCAGAAAGGTCGTCTAAATTGTAGGTAGCGATTACTGCAAGTTGGTTATGTGGGTTACCTGATTATTTTTTTAATAATTTTTTAAAAAAATAGATTGTTAATGATCTTTTATTAACAGTATTAAAATCCTTGATATATTTACCATTATCGGGAACCAATTGAAGTGCTTGATAATAATAATCACTTGCCGTGTTCCAATTTTTTCTTTGACGCTCATTCTGCATTTCTCGATAACGAGCTATGACAATAAGCAAAATATTGCGGAATATTAGAAATAAAAAAGAAATACCGAGTTACTTCAAGAATAAAACAAACCTAAATCGCCGAGAAATATGAGACTTTTATGACAACTTAACACAGCCTTATGCTTCACATCATCTGAAAATGATGTCTTAGAATCATCGAGAGCTTCTAGCGTGAAATATATTTATTAATACTCTTGTTAACCAAAATTCCATTTAGCTATACTGTTTAAATTCGATTTAATTCACCTGTTATCAATCCAAATCTCTTAATAATTGGTTCCAACTGCTCAAGTTGGAAATGCATGGCAAGCTTCTGAATAAAAGAATAATAAAATCCGGTGGCCTCATGCAAAAATGAACGAAAGGAGCCAATCAATTTTCGGGCAGTTGGTCCTTTGGACGAGCCTCCACTTGTTGGTGCCTGCATATTTGTTCTCTTTTAAAATACAACAAAAATGAAGAATAATTTCAATCTAATCCAATCAGAAATTACCAAACGAATTCTCTTTCGATATTCCTCAATGACTCTGTAAAAGACGTATTTCCATAAACTTTGCTCTATATCTTTCACTTGGGCAAAATCAAAATCCAAAAATATAATTTTTTCATAATTATCTCGCAACCTAAATACATGGGAAAGGATAAGGTCAATTTGTGGAAGATGGAAAAGATATCAATAAAACACAAGTTTATTGATCATTTACATACTTTGAACGAACTGTAGCCACTTCTTTATCAAAAGGTTGTCTCTCTTTTAACAGCTGACGCAAATCAACTTCTAACTCTACCGCAGATCTGTTAATTGACAAGATTAATACGTTTATTAACAATGCATCTCCACGTAACGTCAAGAAAAACTAGGTTTGAGGTTTCACTACAATTAAATTCTAGGAGAAGGTCAAAAAAAATGGCTTGCTTACTTATAAAGATCCAACGCAGCTTGGTGCGCTGTAGAAGGCATTTTCTCGAAGCCACCATTCAAAGCGGTTGCAAATTTGGAAAATAAATGGGAACAGAAATTCAAAAATGTTGATATAATGTCTACAGCCGCCTTATAAGATATGTAAGATATGTATGAGGATCACAAGATGATCTACAAAATAAAAGCCCGCCAACTTGTTATAGCATCATTTTTATTAAATATGAGCGAATCTTGGCGAGACCGTAAATTTCCTAATACTTTAGTTCTGTTCGATGTTGATGGGACGTTGACACCAGCTCGTCGGGTAATTTTTTTTATTTATCAACTGAGAATAGTTTGATATATCACTCAACAGCATACATTTTTTATTCAATGATATTGAGTTATTATCCATTTATTATTATCTATTTAGATCGCTAAACCTGAAATGTTAGAAGTCCTTAAGGACCTAAGAAAACATGTCGTGATTGGGTTTGTTGGAGGTTCTGACCTCAAAAAGCAAAAGGAACAACTTGGAGATTATGGTGACTTTTCTTTTCAATTTTCATTTCTTTTGCAGATAATTAATAAATTAAGGAATTTAATATGTGTGTTATTTGTAGTTATAGAAAATTTCGATTTTGCTTTCTCTGAAAATGGACTCACTGCCTTTCGGCTCGGGCAACAGCTCGAGTCCCAGGTAATTTTGATATTTTTAAAAACTTGAATGTCTTTGACGCCACTAATTAGATAAATTAACGCAAAATTTTTTTGAAGAGTTTCATAAAATGGATTGGTGAAGAAAAATACGCTAAACTAGCGAATTTTATACTGAGATATATCGCAAATCTTGAAATCCCCAAAAAACGGTTTTTATTTAAAGTTTTATATACTTACTAATTTAGTTTTTTTATTTTATATATTAATCGATAATTATTCCATTTAGTGGCACGTTTATCGAATTTCGAGCTGGAATGATAAATGTATCACCAATTGGAAGAAATTGCAGGTGAATAAAAAGTTAGAAAATTTGAAAAAATTAAAAAATTTTGATATTAATTATTTATTATTGTTCCATAAAAAGCGTCCAGGAAAGAGATGAATTTGAGGAATACGATAAAGTATGTTTTTTATATGCACTTACGCAAGTAATAGAGTTTTTTTTTTCACACTAAATTATCTTTCATTCAATATAAAAAGATACATAAAATTCGTTCACAGTTTGTTGAAGCTTTGAAAAAGGAATTTCCCGATTACGGCTTAACATTTTCGATTGGTAAAAACAAATTTCTTATAGATTATTTTCTCAATATTTGTTTTTAATAAAATTATTCTAAACTTCAAGGCGGTCAGATATCATTTGACATTTTTCCAACCGGTTGGGACAAGACATATTGTCTAAGACATATAGAATCCGAAGGATTTACAACTATTCATTTCTT